AAATTCAAGCTCCAGGACTGACACACACACACACACACACACACACACACACACACACACACACACACAAAACGCTGAGGGATAGTGCCCAGGCCCTGAATTCAAGCTCCAGTTCCAGCTTAAAAACAAAACAAACAAAAAAAGTGTGCCATCCATATAACCCCAGTACCAGCATAAATATATAAATAAATCCTAAAGCAACTCTGACTTCAAACTCCAGTACTGTCAAGAAGACAATTTAAAAAAAAAAAGACGTGTGTGTGTGTGTGTGTGTGTGTGTGCGTGTGTGTGTGTGTGAGAGAGAGAGAGAGAGAGAGAATCTACTAGGCATCTTTTCCCCATCCCCATTCCATTCCTTTCAGTGCAAAAGGCTCAGGTTGGTCAGGGCAAGGGCTTTTGGAATCAGACTGACAGGTTTAACTACTACTGGCTTTGTAGCTTTTTGTAAACTACTTACTTTCTAAGCTTTAATTTCCTCATCTGTAAAATGGAGATAAATTCCAATGGTTAATATTTATTGAGTGCTTACTAAGGGCTAGGTATCATCTTAAAAACTTAATTCATTCAATCTTCCCAACAATGCCTGGAGGTAAATGCACTATTACTGTTTTTATAGTCAAGGTAGGCACTAGGGAGGTCAAATGACTAACTCAAGATGCTAAACAGCATGTGGCAAACTGTTCAGATCCACCTTCAGGGAAGGACTTGCTCTACCTGCCTCACCGCAGGGACAGCTCCCAACTTGCCTTCAATATCACTCAGTCACACCTGTCCTAGGTAGTCCTACACAGTGCCTAAGTGAGGCCATCCCAGACCCTCAACCCCCACCCCCACCCCACCAACCCCCACATACCCAGGCTTTATGGAGTCTATGTTGCAATTAGCTTTTCCCTCTGTCCAATCTTGTTTTCTCCCTCTTACTTTTACATAATCAACATTGAACTCAGAGATCCCCCACCTCCACTAATATGTAAGTGGTAGAGCTAAGTTCTGAACTGGCACCTGGTCACAATGCTATGCTGCCTCTCAAAATGAAAGACTTTTGGCTGGAAGTGGTGGTTCACATCCGCAATCCCAGCACTCAGAGACACAAAGACAGGAAGTTCAAAGTCAACCTGAGCTACATGGTCAAACTATCTCAAAAACAAACAAACAAACAAAAATAATTTTTCCATAACTGGTCGCTCATACCCGCCAGGAGACAGAGATCCGAAGATCCGAGTTTTAAAGGCAGCCCAGGTAAGAAAGTCTGTGAGATTCTTATTGCTAATTAATCACCGAAAAGCAGAAAGTAGAGCTGTGATTCAAGTAGTAGAGTGTTAGGCTTGAGCAAAAAAAAAAACCTCAGGGACAGTGCCCAGGCCCTGAGTTCAAGCCCCAAGACCAGCACAAAAAATCACCAAAAACATCTTTGTGGAGTACTATGTTAATAGCACCTAATAAGAGCTCAAATAAATGGCAGTTAGTAGTATTATTACCCCAGACTATTGCCAACCTTTACCCTGTCTCTCCTATCTAGGGAAGAAGCCAGGCGTACAGGTTCCCCAGCTTGAGTGAGGGTGAGGCTGTGCTGGGAGAGGCAGTAGGGTGGGGTGGGAAAAGAGAGCCTACCAGTCTGCCCCAGCCTCAAGCAGGTGTGGAGCCTGGCTTGGGGACCCACAGAAGAATCAAACACAGGGCCAAGGTAAAGAAGCAGGAAGGGCACATGCCCACTTTCAGGGACCAAGCTGAACCCAGTGCCTGATATCTCTGACCAGGGACAGGCAACCAAGGCTCCAGGGCCAAGAATCCTGTGGATTTTATCAGATTCTGGTCCAAATTCATTATATCTTCCTTATGTCTGATAAGTCCATTTCTTTTTTTTTTTTTTTTTGGGTCCGGTTGTAGGGCCTGGGCACTGTCCCTCAGCTCTTCAGCTCAAGGATCGGGCTCTACCACTTGAGCCACAGCGCCACTCCCGGCTTTTTTCTTAGGTGGTGCTGAGGAATGGAACCCAGGGCTTCATGCATGCAAGGCAAGCACTCTACCACTGAGCCACCTTCCCAGCCCCTGATAAGTCCATTTCTACACACCTGCAAAGAAAGATTTAATTTTTTTTAAGTAGGGTTACAACCTATAAAGATTTTTTTTTCTGATTCTGGAGATTGAACTCAGGGCTTGGGCACTGTCCTTGAGACTCTCTGTGTTCAAGGCTAGTGCTCTACCACTTGAGCCACAGCACTACTTCTGGCTTTTTCTGTTTATGTGGTACTGAGGAATAGTTCCCAGGGCTTCATACATGCTAGGCAAGCCACATTCCCAGCTCCAATGATTTTTTTTTTTCCTCTCTTAAATTTGTTTCTTTCCCCAAGGATGGAAGTCCTTTCTCAAGTCTGACCTCCATCTCTTATACTGCAGTGGCTATTTCCAGGGATTTAGGCCTCCATTAGCAACAAGACAGGGGAGTCTAACACCAAATAGAAAGGAATGATCAGCATTTTATTTACAACAGTAGAACTTTTGCCCTGCAACCTGCCCTCCCTCCGCTCTCCCCTCCCTCCCTGCAGCTACCTTTCTTAGGGGAGGGAATGGTCAGTCCTAGGGGGTTCTGATAAGAGATAAAAAGCAAGTTGGGGGGGGGGGCTGGGTACCCTCTTGCCCTTTTTTCTTTCAGGTTTGTTAGGCTTCCTCTCTCCCCAACTTACCCTTGAAGACAAAGTTATAATCGTCCTCGTTTCCATTCCCCATCTTGGCTCCACATGGAAGGTGCAGGTGGCTTTACGGGGGGCAGAGATCACAAGTCTGTGTGTTAGTTCAATGCCCCTAACCCTCAGCTCTTGAGACCTTCACCCACCTTTTCTCTCATTGGGGGCCAGGAGACTTCTGCAGACAGAGAGATTGAAGGCCAACTCAAGGCAGAGCAGGTCCTAGGGACTCTCAGCTCTGGCAGGTGGGGGTGCTGTCTGTATGGAAGCTGAGAGGACGGAAGCTGACGGAGAACAGGAAGTGCAAGCGCTGGGGACCTGGGGCCCAGGTGGGTGGAGAGATGATGACATCATACAGGTTAGACAGGTTGGGTGTCTGTTATGAGCCTGGGCTCCTGAGAGCAAGGAAGCCAGTTCCAGTGGGTAACATTGGGGAACCTGGGGGACTGAACCTTTGGAGAGAGCCCACTAAAGCCCGAGTGTGCCATGCTTGGCTCCCAGGACCTGTGGTGAAGGTGGGGTTCTAACCAGTGCCCCTTGGGAAGCAAAAACCCACTTGATTTGTTATTTTTCCCTCAACGACTCTGTTAAAGTGTTACAGTAAAGTCTGGGGCCACAGAGAAAGACTGTTGGGAAAAGGGGTAGGGGCTGATGATGCCAGTGGCCCTGCTATAGTACAGAAGCAGCTTCTGCCCTTCGCTGACAGCCCAGAGCCTGGGATGGGCAGCTTTCTCACCCTGGGTGGAGCTAAGCCTACCCAGCTGGCAGGGATCCTTTTTTCTACCATGAGGCCAAGGGCTAGCAGCTCCCTACACAGACCTACTCTAAGGACACTGGGCAGGGGGAAGCATGGGTCAGAAAGAGCCAGCTGGGCTGGGTACAGGGTCAGGATCTAGAGATAAAGGCCCTGAAAGGTCTCCTGGGGTTTGTCTACTCTTTATCCAGGATCTGAGGCCTCAAAGCAAAGGTTTCTTATTGCTAATGGGCTTCAAGATTTCTTAAAGAGGGAGAGTGGGACATGATGAAGTATTGTATAAGCCTAGCACTCGAAGGTGGAGATGATGATCATAGTTCTTATGTTTTTGAGATCCTATCTCAAAAACAAAATAAAGGGCTGGGAAGGTGGCTCAGTGGTAGAGTGTTTGCCTTGCATGCATGAGGCCCTGGGTTCCATTCCTCAGCACCACATAAGCAGAAAAAGCTGGAAGTGGCGCTGTGGCTCAAGTGGTAAAGCGCTGGCCTTGAGCTGAAGAGCTGAGGGACAGTGCCCAGGCCCAGAGTTCAGGCCCCACGACCGGCAAAAATAAAAATAATAAATAAATAAATAAATAAAGGTTTAGGGGTGTGCATAAAGTGATAGAGTACTTGCCTAGCAAGAGAGAGGCCCTGAGTTCATTCCTCCGTACTGTGAGGGGGAAAAAAAAAGGATCCAGAGAGGGTCTAGATAATTTGATTTATGAATGCCTCAGAGGAGAAAGGATTACAAGATATACCACCTTCAACAGGATCAGACTTTGCTCTTTGAGCTTATTCCCAAGGCTTCACCAAACAAGTGAGTGGCAGGTACTAGGTAGGGAGGGGGTCATGTCACTGGAAAGAACAAGGGAACTGAAATCTCACTGCCATGAAAAACTAGCCCTGGTACTGGTGGCTCACACCTGTAATCCTAGCTACTCAGGAGGCTGAGATCTGAGAATCGTGGTTCAAAGCCACCCCAGGCAGGGATGAATAAACCACCAGAAAACTGTAAGTTGAGCTGTGGCTCAAGTGTTAGAACCCTAGCCTTGAGCTGAACAGCCAACAGTGCTCAGGCTCAGAGTTCAAGCATGACCACCACCACCACCAACAACAAAAAATGTAGGGCTGGGAAGATGGCTCAGTGGTAGAGTGCTTGCCTTGCATGTATGAGACCCTGGGTTTGATTCCTCAGCACCACATAAGCAGAAAAAGCTGAAGTGGCGCTGTGGCTCAAGTGGTAAAGTGCTAGCCTTGAGCTGAAGAGCTGAGGGAACAGCGCCCAGGCCCAGAGTTCCAGCCCCACGACCAACAACAACAACAAAAAAAAAATGTAGTGAATAGGAAGAATCCTTTGAGTCATCCCCACACCATCCCATGTCCTCTGATTCCTCTCATCCGAGAAAGGTGCTAACTCGGATGTGGTTGTACATGCCTGTAATTCCAGCACTCTGGAGGTTGAGAGGAAGGAAAATAGCCAAGTTCAAGGCAAGCCTGAGATCCAGCCTCAAATAAAAAAGAAAAAGTTAAAAACAAAAAACAAGGCAAAGAAATAAGGAAGAAAGGAAAAAAAATAGTCGGTACACAAGGCAGGAGCTGAAATTTATTTTGGGTGAAACAAAACTCCCTCACCCACAACCCAGACAGTCCAGCAAGATTTTTCTGAGGGACCCTGCCCCTCCAAATGCTCATCTCTCTCCTCTGGCCTCAGCTTCCATCAATACCATTATGATGCCGCTACTTGGGTGAGGGGCTCTTCCAGGTATTGCACCAAGGCCTGGGCCTGCAAAAGGGGAACATAAATCAAGTAACTTGTGGCCTACCACACATTTGCCTCCAACGTCACCCTAAGCAAGCCACCACCCAGCCCCTGCTCTTGAATTAATCCACGCCACACATGGATTGGAGGGACAATTTAAGAAAGAGAAAAATGGACCTGGTGATGAAGCTGAGCCCAGGGCTTGGGGGGGAGGGGGGGAATGGGCACATACACACCTTGGCTTTAAGCATTCCGAAGCCCACAGTCTCCTTGGCATACATGCACAGCAGAAGGTTGGCCACTCGGGTGATGGCTACGCGACCTTCCTGGTGGGGGTGACATGATATGATGGGAAACTCTGCTTGACACTTAGTCCCCTCCTTCCCCAGTGCCTTCTCTGGCCCTAAGACACTTCTTTCTACATTCTGGGCATACAGGAGGTATGGGAAGCTTTAGCCACAGAACTGGATGTAAGGTTGAGTCTATATTTCAGCCTCGACGAAGCCACCTTCTAAACAAGTTTTCCCTCGGGAAATTCAGTCTTCCAGAAATTCAATTTCCTCTTCTGTAAGCTCTAACACATGCTCTGCCAAGAGTTGTCCCTATGTATACTGTTATTATGGGTTTGCCCTAGACTAGAGACACTGACAGGGCTTGAGGTCAGTGTCCCAACTTATTTCTCCACTTTCTTTATGGCTGTTTTTTTAAATAGCAGGAGATCAATTAAGAGGTTTGATTAAAATAAAATAATCTGGGTATACTAGTGGCTCATGCCTATTATCCTGCTCAAGAGGCTAAGAACTGACAATCACATTTCAAAGCCAGCCTGGGCAAGAAAGTCTGTGAGACTCCAATTAAGTACCAAAAAAGCTGGAAGTGGGGCTGTAGCTCAAGTGGTAGAGCACCAGCCTTATGGAGAAGCAGGATGCTGGTTGCTCATGTCTGTAATCCTAGCTACTCAAGAGGCTGAGATCTGAGGATCATGGCTCAAAGCCAGCCCCGGCAGGAAAGTCTGTGAGACTATCTCCAATTAACCACCAGAAAACCAGAAGTAGCCCTGTGACTCAAGTGGTAGAGAGCTAGCCTTGAGCTGAAGAGCTTGGGGACAGTGCTCGGGTCCCAGGCCTAGAGTTCAAGACCCATGACCGAACAAAAAGGAAAAAAAAAATCTCAGGGAGAGCACACAGGTCCTCAGTTTAAGGCCCAGGAACAGTAGTAAATGAAAAAATGAATGAAGTGCACCGTATGTTGTGAGAACTACTGTTTCATGAAACTTTTCAATGTACACACTCATGTATATACACACTAGGATTTAACCTAAAATGTGTTTGACTAGGTTACAGAAAAACAATTGAGGGCTGGGAAGGTAGCTCAGTGGTAGAGCGCTTGCCTTGCTTGCATGAGGCCCTGGGTTCGATTCTCAGCACCACACAAGCAGAAAATAAAAAAGCCAGAAGTGGCACTGTGGCTCAAGTGGTAGAGTGCTAGCCTTGAGCTGAAGAGCTGAGGGACAGCGCCCAGGCCCAGAGTTCAGGCCCCACGACTGGACCCCCCCAAAAAAAATTTTTTTTGAAGCTATTGTCCTATTGTACCAGGCCAGGCTAGCTACCCAGTAGGTGTTATTTGTTGAACCAAAATGGTATTGGTTGGGCAAAAGATGGGAAAGAGTTGGTACCCTGAGTTAGAGGAGCCATTATTCCTGGAGAGTTCAGCCTCAGGGCCCATTCAATTTAGCTTTGTACATATTCATTAGGTCACTTACCAAGTGCTAGGAACTAGGCACTCTATTCTATGCCTCTCTGATCTCCTCTGATCTCCTTCTATCCTCCCTCTTTATTATTTATTTATTTATTTTTGTGCCAGTCCTGGGGTCTTGAGCTCAAGGGCTGGGTACTGTCCCTGAGCTTGTTTTGCTAATGACTAGCACTCCACCACCTAAGCCACAGTGCCACTTCTGCCTTTCTTCTGTGTATGTGGTACTGGGGAATGGAACCCAGGGCTTCATGCATGCTTGGCAAGCCCCCATTCTTATGATATCAGTCGTACCAACTTTTTTAAAATCACCTGCCCCAGGGCCTTTGCATTTGCTGTTTTATCACAAATGTTCTTTCTCTAGATGGTCACAGGGCTTATCCTCCACTTTCCTTTAGATCTTGGATAAAAATGTCAATTTTTCCGTGAGATATTTCTAACACAGACTCCTATGCCACTGTCAATCACTTCATTTTTTTTTTTTTCCTTCATTGTACTTTCAGATTTTTTTTATTTTGTTGTTGTTGTTTTGTGGGTTGTGGAGCTTGAACTCTGGGCCAGACTTCCCTGATGGGGCTAGCTTCTAACCATGATCCTCAGATCTCAGCCTTCTGAGCTAGAATTACAGGTGTGAGCCTGACCCAATTTTCCCCTTTCTGAATTTCATTTTCTTTCTTTGTAAACTGAAGGGATTGGATTGGAGTCTAGAAACTCTGCCACGGTTCTCTGAATCAGTAAAGGTGAGATGACAACTCTGTGTTTGGACCCCATTTCAATTTTTTCATTTAATCTTCACACCCTGTAAGGGGATGTGGAATGAAATGATTGTTTCTTCCTTGAAGATGAAGTTAGGAAGCTCAGGATGGTTAAGTGACTTACCCAAGTGTTCACAACTGACAAGTGGATGGCTGGAATGAGACCCAAGTTAGACCTCAGTCTAGGGCTTCTTCCTCACCACCACTTGATGCACATGGGGTTCTGCCTATTACGAATGTTGCTGCTGACCAATTCTTCGTAATCTTCAGGAGATCCTGTCCCTACCCCTCCAACCATCCAGGATGAGTTCCAGGTTGCCCCTTGGTCTCCCCCCTGGGAAGCAGAGGAAGTCTGGCTCCCTTTTCCATACCATGCAGTCCATGAGGATGAATTTGAGATTGTCTTCATTAAACGCTTGGTTTCCATTCCGATCATAGGCAGCCCAAATGTTACTGGCGATGGCTGCGGTGACCCGGGCATCTGTGTCCCCGTAACCGGAGTAGGCCAGCAACGATCCCTCGTTATTCAGCAGCCTAGCGCGGGGAGAGGCAGCGGCACATTCAGAGGAAGGAGTGAAAGGCCAGGGCTCCAATCCCAACTCTTGCTTGTGCCCTAAGCACCATCACGCGGACTTCCCCTTCCGAGAGGGGCCTCTCCCGGCCGGTTCCCTCTGCTGCCGCCCGCCTCTGAGGCCTCCTCCCGGCGTGGCGATCCTTCCCCCAGCCTCCCCCAGGCCGCCGCTCTGGCCCTTGGTGCACACTCACAGGGTGCTTTGGACTCCTCCAGTATTGGCTTGGCTTAACACCTGGGTCAAAGCCTTGGGACGCAGCATTCCTGCGGATCCTCGCCCCGGGTTTGGGCAGCCAGATCACAGGAGTTGCCGCCAGCCGGGTCCTGACTGAGGCTTCCCTAAACTCTACCTGGCCCTGGGAATTGTAGTCTCGGGCTTGACTTAACCCCGCCTTGCGCGGGGGCGCTGGGAATTGTAGTTCCCAGGGCCTCGCAAGTTAGCCTGGGAAGTGTAGTTCGGCTTTCCACTGCGACCACGCGGTTTGGGAGAAAAGAGCGGGAGTGAAAGGCTAGTGGCAGTGTTGGAAGGACTTTTAACCCCTTCGGGGAGGGCAAGTCATCATGTTGGCCTGGAAATCTGTAATTTACAAGCCCCCTCCGTATTTGTGAGGTCCACCTGTGGTTACTTTTCAAAGCAGTTCTTCTACATTACGCCCAATTCTGAGGAGAGGCGATGGGTAGTGTTATTTTGAGGAAATCAAGGCTCAGAAAGGCCACGTAGGCAAAACCCCGTTCTAAGAACGATGCCTGAGGACCAGCCGCCCAGAGCTCGCGGGGAACAAACAGACTCAGTCCTGAAGAGGTGTTTACGGGCGTCTAGCAGTAGGGGAAGCCTGAGGCCTGGAAGCGACCAGGTTATCTCTGAAAACGGAGATAAAGCGCAGACACAGAAAGTCCTTTGTCCCGGAGCGGGAGTTGGCGCGGAGGGGCGGGGGCGCTTCGGGCCACAGGGAACGTGGCGCTGCTCGGGGCTGCGAGGGACCCGCGAGTCTTCCGCCCCAGCCCGCCCCTGCCCGCACCCCGCCGGGATCACCACCCCGCGAGGCCCAGCCCCGCGGTCGGGCCGGGCCCAGGCGCGACCCCGCTGCAGTGGCCCCCCCAGTCCGCCCGGGGCGCTGTGGCTGCGGCGGGTCCGGAGGGGGCGGCGAAGCCTTGGGGAGGGGGAGGGAGGGGATCGGAGGCGGGGTGGGGGGGGCGGAGGCGCCGGAGCCGAGCCGGGCCGGCCCGGGAGGAGGAGGAGTCGGGCGGGCTGGCGGGCGGCCGGGTGGCGGCGGCGGCATGGCGGAGCCGAGCGGGGCCGAGACGAGGCCCCCTATTCGGGTCACAGTCAAGACCCCCAAGGACAAGGAGGAAATCGTGATCTGCGATCGCGCCTCGGTCAAGGAGGTAGCACGGTTCGCTGGCGGGGGTGGTCAGGGAGGAGCGCGGAGGAGGGGTCAGCGGAGGGGGGGGCGCTCCGTGAGGGCCTGGCCCCGGGCAAGGTCCCCGACTGGAGAGTGGGGGCCGGCGGGCACTCCAAAGTGTGGCAGGGAAAGAGAGGCGGGAAGGGGGCGCCCTGCGAGGGTGGGTATGGGGGAGCGCGGCGCATGCTTGGGGGGGCGGGTTTGGCTGTGTGGCCAGAGCTGGGGGCGTGGTGGTGGAGAGTGGGGACCGGGGAGGACCCTGGGCTTGAGGGGAGTTATGTCCCACTTATTGCGGGGGGTTGGAGGCGGAGTAGGACTGGGGCGAGGTGCTGAACCGGAGCGCACTGGGTGGGGGGTGGTGCGGGCGGAGTTCTCAGCGCCCGCTGTGTGTCTCCAGGAGGAAGCCCTGGCGTCTCTGAGCGCTGGGGCGACCGAGGGCGCTTTCCCCTCTGCCCAGAGGCATTCCACTCTCTCAAATCCAGGTGGTTACATTTGTCTCTCAGCTCTCTTCTGGGATTTATAGTTCTGTAGGTTCTCAATAAAATTTCGTTGCATGAGGAACTATTTATTTCCTGCACTGCTCTAGAATTTCACATAGGTGGGGCTTAAGATAGGCCATCTGGTTGAAAGCCAGAGACCTGAAAGCTGCTTTTGCTCAGCAAGTGCACTGTTTATATTGCAAAGGTGTGTTTGGTGTTGTTGGGGGTGGGGGAGGAGGGCAATAGAATTTGGAGAGTCTTACTATCTCCAGAATAGCCCTTAGTGCCATCTCTTTTCCTCACTTCCATATCAGATTACTAAATCTCAGAATTTAAATAGTGTTCTCTGCAAGGCTGAATTTGAAAACAGCTCTAATTGAGAGACGTGTTTGGTTAAGAGCCTAGACATTTGTGTCAAGGCCTGAGTTCCAGTCTTCCCAAGACAAATTACCTAAACTCTCTGGTCCTCAGTTTTCTAATCTTTAGGAGATGAGGAAGATAATGCACTAAATTGCTAACTTGTGAATGGTTAGGACTCTTACTGAATTTGTGGTAGATGTTATGGGAAAGCTGGAAATAAAAAGAAGTGAGGCCAGGTGCTTGTGACTCACTCCTGAAATCCTAGCTACTCAGGAGGCCTAGCTCTAAGGATCTCAGGAAAGTCCATTAAATTCATCTCCAGTAAGTCTCACTGTGGCTCAAGTGGTAATTAGTTAGCCTTGAGCAAAACGAAGCTCCCGGATAGTACCCAGGGCCTGAATTCAAGCCCCAGGACTGGCACAAAGAATAAAGAAGAAAAGGGGAAACTAGGAGCCAGAGAAGACTGAAACGAGACTCTGCCTGGGTTCAAGGCAATTTGAAGGGATTAGGAATGGGAAGGCTGCCTGAGTAGTATTCTCACAAGAGGTGAGGATAGGAGCCTCTGGGATAGAGCTGTGAGAACTAGTTGGTCTGTCTCCTTGAATGAGAATTAAGAGACCTACTGGGCTGGGGGGTGTGGCTCAAATGGTAGAGACTTGTCTAGCAACTCAGACCCTCAGTTCTATTTCCAGAGCTGAAAGAAAAGAAAAAGAAATTAAGAAAGAAGCTATTTATTGTAGCTAGAGGGAGGGAGTTGAGACTGCAGAAAGGACTTCCCACAAGTAGAGGTCAGAGCAAGAGAATGCAGACATTCTTGAAGAAGTGGCAGGGTCCCTGGTGGGTGGTGTCTAGGCAGCCTCCACAATGTTCTTTGCTTCTTGATCACAGTTCAAAGAGGAAATCTCACGGAGGTTTAAGGCTCAGCAGGATCAGCTGGTCCTGATCTTCGCAGGCAAGATCCTCAAGGATGGAGACACACTGAATCAGCACGGGATCAAGGATGGGCTCACTGTCCATCTGGTCATCAAGACCCCTCAGAAGTAAGCTCAGGAGAGGAACCCACCTTGTTTTCTGGTTGGGACTTCCCAGTCCAATACTTCCTTCGCCTTTCCTCCACTACACCTAGCTGGCCTGTGCCCAGGCCTAGGTGGGTGGCTCTTGGGTAGAGACAATTGCATCTTCCTCTAGGAGATGCCCTGGATGAAGACAGATGACATTAATGACTTCCTCCCTCTCCCTGTTTACTGACTGCCCACCCGCCAGCATCGCCTCACCTCAGCCTGAGGTGACTGGGATCAGGGTTGCTCAGAAGGTGGCTTGGGCTAGCAGTAGCTGCACAGCCCACATAGAGATGGCTGTGGTACCTTCCCTCTTTGGTACTTAGTCCAACCAGGATTCATTCTCCTTTCTCTTTCCGCAGGGCTCAAGATCCAGCTGCTGCCACTGCTTCTTCCCCTTCTACTCCTGACCCTGCCTCAGCACCCTCTACCACACCTGCTTCACCTGCCACCCCTGCCCAGCCCTCCACTTCTGGCAGTGCTGCTTCAGATGCTGGCAGTGGAAGCCGGAGGAGCAGTGGGGGGGGTCCCTCCCCAGGGGTTGGGGAGGGACCCCCCAGTGCTACTGCATCTATTCTCTGTAAGCCCTTGGAAAGGAGAACACAATTTTGTGTTGGGCTAGGGAGTGGGGGAAAGCCAAAAGGAGGGAAAAACATGGTCCTACTCCTAGTTCTATGTGACTAGGGACACCTGGACATAGAGTTCCAGACCTTAGTCCTTGACCAAGCTGGGAAGGAAAGGAGTCCATGAATTTCCTAGAGGAGGGGAGTATAAGCCAAGTATGAGCTCTGGGCATGGAGATTGGAAGAGCCTGTGAACTGGGAAAAGGTGACTCCAAAATTATGCAGTGGAGTGTTTATTTACTCATTTAACAGGCCACTACTGATTGCCTTACCTCTGCTTGACTCTGTACTTAGCTCAGTCTCTGCTGTCAAAGAGGTCTCAATCCTTTGAGCTCACCTTTTTGCCAGAAGCAGATCAGACCTGGGGCTGTGGGAGTGACTGGAAAGGGAGATGGGAAAAGTAGTTTGGGCCCATCTTGGAGACCCAAATTCTGGCTCTACTAGATGGGGGAAGGACTCTTGGGGTAGACTGTGACCCTGCCCCCTCCCCACAGCTGGCTTTGGGGGCATCCTGGGGCTGGGCAGCCTGGGCCTAGGCTCTGCCAACTTCATGGAGCTGCAGCAACAGATGCAGAGGCAGCTGATGTCCAACCCTGAGATGTTGTCACAAATCATGGAGAACCCGTTGGTCCAGGATATGATGTCTAACCCTGACCTGATGCGCCACATGATCATGGCTAACCCTCAGATGCAGCAGCTGATGGAACGGAACCCTGAGATCAGCCACATGCTCAACAACCCTGAGCTCATGAGGCAGGTAGGTTTGGGAGAAAAAGGCTAGAAGGGTGAAAAACACCTGCCCTCTTCAGTCTTTCCTGCCTTGTCCCATATTGGTTTGTTTTCTCATTCATTCATCCATTCACTTAGCAGCTATATTTTGAATATTTGAGACAGAGTCATAGAAGGATGAAGGACTAGCTTCTGGTCTCAAAGGGAAGTGGGACAAGTAAACAAGTAGATACAGTATACGATCCTGATATCACAGAATCGCAGAGGAGGGTAAGGGGGGGGGGGGTGCTGGGAAGGTGGCTCAGTGGTAGAGCACTTGCCTTGCATGCCTGAGGCCCTGGGTTCGATTCCTCAGCACCACATAAGCAAAAGAAAAAAAGCCAGAAGTGGCGCTGTGGCTCAAGTGGTAGAACTCTAGCCTTGAGCTGAAGAGCTGAGGGACAGCGCCCAGGCCCAGAGTTCAGGCCCCACGACCGGACCCAAAAAAAAAGGTCCTGGGGCATACCAGGCCCAGAAGAAATGTCACCAAATTGAGACTCAAAAAGGGAGGGCAGGTGAGCCAGAGAAAAGGAAAAACAAAAAAATCAGGGCTAAGGGACAGAAAAGCAAAGACCTAGGAGTAAAAAATAAGATATTTTGAGGAGCATTGTGACTGGGCAGGCCTGGTGGGGAAGAAGGCCCAGCAGATGCCATTTTGCCATTGATGTT